ACCTTGCCTCTTGCCAGCTCTACTATACACCCTGGAATTCAGATCATACACATAAACTTATAGGACAATTGTCTGCCTACCCTATATATGTTCTTGGATACACTCCCCATTTCATAGACATACCTAATTGTTCAGCCTGTCCACCCATCTATCCACCCTTATACCCATGCCTTCACTGACATCGCAGTACTGTATGTGCAAAAGGGTTCATCTTTGTTGTCTGTACCTCCCATGTACCTCTCTATGTCTTTCTCTTACTCAGTGCCACCATATTGATCACTCACATTTGGTACATTGCCCTTCTCTTCAGCCAAATCAATACTTATCTCTATCTATTTAACAGAAACACATTTTTTTCTTTTAAGGAAATTTTTCTAGTCAGTGTTTAAACTTAGGAGAACATACCCTACTTTGATAAGGTAGATTATTTAGAAAGCACTGAAGGATAAGTCAGTTTGGGTTAATGAATTGATAACTAAAAGCAAAAATGTGTTATGGATCAAAACATGAAAGATAAAATTCAAACCTGCCAATCACTGATTAAAGACTTTTCTGTGATTACTATACTTAGAAAGTAAATCAGCTTCTTTGCAAAAGGTCATTGACTATTGAATGTGTAATAGAATATGTTATTTGTTAAACTAACATATTATTTGGTATGGTAGAAAATATATGAATATGGAAATCAGACTTATAAAAAGTCATTGAGCTACTTTTTAATTTTATGTCTCTAAGCAAAGGAATATCAATTTCCTCATACATAGCTAACCTATTTGTAGGTTCTTTTTAAGCTATAAAGACTAAATAGAATAAGCCAGCAAACAGACACATAATAAAATAGATGTAATAAATAGATTAACATACCTGGCACATGGGAAGCACCCAGTAAAATATGAATTTTCTCTTTTGCCAGTCAAAGGAGAAACAACCTGAATGTCAGACTCACCTATTCTCATGTATGTCCACATTACTTAATTGATTATTAAAAAACAATATTTCTTAAAGTACTCTTTAATAGATGTCAAATCAAATTCTACAATTTTTTTTTAAAAAATACGATTTTGTAAAAACAAGCCTAAAATGAGATATTTATGTTATTGTTAACCAAGATAGTCATATTTATTCTGCTGCATGGACAACTTGGTTCTGCGCTCCCTTTGCTATTGGGCACACTTGAAAGGGGGGAAACAGCCAAAGAGAATGTGATGATCTAGGTTGGAGGCGAAACGTTAGAAAAAGAGGAATTAAATTCTTCCAAGTTACGTTTATGTTCCAGAGAAGGACCCTTATCATGTTTATCATTTTTACATGTTGCTGTAATATGTCTTTGTCTTATTGTATATAATAGGTACAGTTTATCAGAAGTATGAGCCAGTCTTTTTCCAGTCCATTGGAAATCCATTTATTTTTAGATGCCTGGATGGGGTACTCATTGATGGAAATGACAAAGGAATATCAAAAGTTGTGTATAGGTAAGTTGATGCCCATGTTCAAATTTAATTATAGGAGATAGAACCATACTTCCTACAATGGCTATGGCCAATAGCATTTTCATTTTAATACAAATCTATTTAGATAGCTGCTGTGTGGCAATGCACTGGCCCTGTTGATTAGACAGAACTTTTTAAAGATGTTTGCACTTGTTTAGTTCTAGGGCTAATTTTGTATTTTTAATTCAATTTTAAGATACAGAAGAGCAATCCTTAGCTAATGTTTTCACCTGTTTCAGATCTTGCAATGGGAGGGATCGGCTTGGCCCTTTAGAAATGAGTGATAGTACATGGCTGACTTCAGAAATGGATAATCCACTGGCTGTAGGACAGTATGTCAACAATTGTTCAAATGGTAAGTTGGCATCATCGCACAGAGACTGGATGTAGGTATGGCAATGGTTAATTCTCGTTTGCCAGAAATAGTTGAGTTCAGCATCTCCGCTATTCAAAGCCTTTAAGTGACTATAACTTTATTAGGGCATATATCACAGGGAGAATTGGGGGAAATAATGATATATATTAATTGGAATACTTAAATATACTATTTATTTTGCAGTGACTCTAGGTAATTGATAACAATTGTTCTGATCATTATAATTTTAGCATTTGTTTTATAATTAATGTAGAGATTATTTTGTCAGTGACTCAGTTTGTGAGTCACATACCTTCTTTAAGACTTTGCTTTTCAACAAGTAAAAGTTTGATCATCAGGGGCTATGTTTAGCATAGGCTCTGGTGTTAGGAAGACATAAATTTGAAGACTCACTTTTCTACTTAACCTTTCTGAGCCTCTGTTTCTTCTTGATCTCAAAGAAGTAAATAATAAGACATATATATAAATTTTAAGCATGTTCTGATAAGTTAGAAAGCATACATAAAGTATCATAACCCGGTACTGTTTTCTATGACCTTGTATCAAGGCTCTGTTTCTGAAAATTATGTGTTTGTTCCTAGACAGAGCAGCTAATGTCTGTTATCAGGAATTTGATGTGCCTGCAGTTTTTCCTATAGAACTGAAGCAATATCTTCCAAACATTGCCTACAGCTACGACAAACAAAGGTTAGTCTTGTAGAAGAGCAGTTCCTATATTCTACCTTATGCTATACATTTAAAAAAAATTTTGCAGAAAAAGCTGTATAGAAATTAGCATAAGGGTTTTTTTTTTTTTTGAGTGAAAGATTACCAGCTTTTTTTGTTCATCACACCTTAACGTAGCCTATTTCAGATTATAGTGTTTCCATGAATTTAGCTCATTCTGCTCATTATCACCCATTTTTAGTCTGTGTAGTACTACACAAGTATTAATCTTACAGTTTTTTTCCCCAATTGATTCTATTTTTCCTAGCCATAAAATCTTCTAATACATTTTTATTTTAATCAGAGTAAGAATCATATTCTCTACCTCATCTAAGAGCACCCAACTGGAGAAGAAAGGGGTCAAATTACACTATGCATTATTTCTTTTGCCCATTTCACTGTTAGGTTACATTACTACACTATTCGGTTATAGCATACTGTATTTGGTGGGTGTCCTGTTAAACTGGCCTTTTAAGAAATGAATGATGTTTAAAATTTTGACTATTCCCTATACTTAAAACTTGATAACTTTGTGTGTGTGTGTGTGTATTTAACAACTAGCTCTTACCCACATATTTTGGAGCTAATGTCATTACCATTCAACAAGTAGAGGAAAAGATAAATGACAAGAAACATTGAATGTATGCATAGAGAAGTATCTTACCACTTTTGTACAGAAGGAGTATTTTTTTTAATTTCAGTTTATTTGAAGTAATGTTTCCAGCTTTGCAGAGCACAAAGATAATAAATAAAAGAATGTTAAACTATAATGTCATTTTAAAATCCCATATGTAGTACCAGTTTTACACACTTGAATACATATTTTTGGAAGATGTAATTAGTTATGTAAATGTATTGATTTGTAGTTTTTTAAAATGATATAGAATAGATATACTCTACTTGAGAATTGACAGAATACCAGTTGAAATGTTTTAACAAACAAAGGCAACACTGGAAGTGCTCACACTTCTATGCCAAGAAATTTGCAAGACAGCTACTTGGCCATCTGACTGAAAGAGATCCACATTTGTACCCATTCCAAAGAAAGGTGATCTAAAGAGTGGAAATTATTGAACAATATCATTAATATCTCACACAAGGAAAATTTTGTGAAAGATAATTCAAAAACAGTTGTAGTAGTACATTGACAGGTAACTGCCAGAAATTCAAGCTAGATTCAGAGGAGGGTGTGAAATGAGAGATACCATTGCTGATGTCAGGTAGATTTTGGGTAAAAGCAAAGAATAACAGAAAGATGTTTACCTGTGGTTTATGGATTATGCAAAGGCATTTTACTGCGTGGATCATAACAAATTATGGATTGCGTTGCTAAGAATGGGAATTCCAGAACACTTAATTGTGCTCAAGTGGAACCTGTACATAAACCAAGAGTTGAACAGACCAAAGGGATATTGTGAGGTTTAAAATCAGGAAAGGTGTCAGGGTTGTATCCTTTTTTTTTTTTTTTTCCCGCATGCATGCAAAAGCTGGACAGTGAATAAGAAAGACTGTAAATCTTTATTCTGAGCAAGTAATCTGAGAAGCTGGACTACATGAAGAAAAACACGGTATCAGGATTGGAGGAAGACTCATTAATAACCTGCAATATGCAGATGGCATAACCTTGCTTTGCTGAAAGTGAAGAGGACTTGAAGCATTTACTGATAAAGATCAAAGACTACAGCCTTCAATATGGATTACACTTCAACATAAAATGAAAATCCTCACAACTGGACCAATGAGCAGCATCGTGATAAATGGAGAAAAGATGGAAGTTGTCAAGGATTTCATTTGACTTGGATCCTTAATGAACACCCATGGAAGCAGCAGTCAAGAAATCAAATGATGGACTGTGTTGGGTAAATCTCCTCCATAAGACCTTTTTAGAGTGTTGAAAAGCAAAGATGTCATTTTGAGGATGGAAGTGAACCAAACCCAAGCTATGGTAATTTCATTTGCCTCGTATGCATGCACAGCAGAGGGGGTGGGGCCCTCTGGTAGCGTAGTGCCTAAGGCATTTGACTTTTAAAGAAGGCTGGCAGTTCAAACCCACCAGCCACTCCTTGGAAGGAAGATTGGGCAATCTACTTCTGTAGAGATACTGTCTCAGAAACCCAAGGAAGGGTCGCTATAAGTCAAATTGACCCAACAGCAGTGAGTCTGGTTTTTTGTTTTTCATGTGCATGCAAAAGCTGGACAGTGAATAAGAAAGACCGTACAATTGATGCCTTTGAATGATTGTGCTGGGATGAATATTGAATATACATACCGTGGACTGCCAGAAGAATGAACAAATACGTCTTCAAAGAAGTACAACCAGAATGTTCCTTAGAAGCAAGTATGGCGAGACTTCATCTCATGTCCTTTGAACATGTTATTAGATGGAACAGTCTGTGGAGAAGAGCATCATGCTTGGTAGAGAGTGAAAAGGAGGAAGATTCTCAATGAGGTGGATTGACACAGTAGCTGCAACAATTAGCTTAAACAAAGCGATGATTGTGAGGCTGGTGCAGGGCCAGGCGGTGTTTCATTCCATTGTACATAGGATCACTGTGAGTCAGAACTGACTCGACAACATCTAAGAACAAAATGAGAAACAACTTTAGAATAATTCCATCAGAGATTTCTTCGTGGAAATCAAATACATAAACCAAGACGATAGTAAGAAATGTAAGAGAAACTTGCATCTATAAACTCAGACTTTATATTAAAAATACGACCTTATTACTGTTAATACTTCTAACTTTTGTGTATTTTTCTCTCTTTATTTTTAGTCCACTTCGGTGTATCATTCTTGTTGCACTCAGGGATATCAAGCAAGGAGAAGAGCTTTTTTCAAATTACTACACAATCGTCAGCTAACTCTGTCAATCAGAAATTAGGTTTTTTTACTCAACTGTCAGGTTAATTCTAAGTGTTTTTTGTTACTCATTTCTCTGGGTTCCATGGGTAAACAAATACCTTGAGACCTAATTGGAGTAGCAATTTTTTATTGTTTATATTGATATTATGTTTGTTTCAAGTCCATGATTAAAAGCTATTTGCTTCATTACAGTTTCAAATTTGTAATGCCGTTTCATTAATTGCTTTTCATCTAACTACACAGTAGCTCATTAGATTAAAACCTGTCTGACCTTACAATTTCAGTTTTTCTTTTGCTTATTTTATATATTTCTGTAGTGGTTTATAAAATTTAAGCCAAGCCATCAACAGTTCTTGCAGTACTATTGATGTGTACAAACTGCTGTAAAAACTTCATCCTTACAGAATAAACTAAAGTTAAAAAAAATACCCACTCTAAATGGAATTTGTGTTGCCATCAGTTAATTGGTGTGTGCTTTGTGTTAATTTAAAGCTTGGTCTAAGCTGGGTAAGGTTATTCTATTTACTCGTTTTGTTTGAACACAACAGTTTCCACACAGGACACACACACACACACACACACAGAAGGCTAAAAATGAAGAAGAGGGAGATCATTTTAGCCTGAGAATACAGCTAAAAGATGGTGTTGGTGAAAGGAACATTTACCCCCACCTTCTCATGTTTCCATGTGGCAGACTTCTATTAGTAATGTACCTGGTATAGGAGACGCCTATGGGAGGAAGAATGACTTTCTGAGAGTATCTTTGGAGAACTAGGCATCACTGGCTCAGACCATTCTAGTTCCTTCTCTGTGGATCTGCCGCCAGCAGAAAGTGTGTCCTAGGCTGCTCTCTCCTGTGCAGGAAGCTTGTAACCAGCCTGGCCAGTGAGCCTAATTCAGAGATGGAGCATTAGTGAGTCAGCTGGGCCACAGCTCTGAAGTCATTTTCTCCAGAGTTTTATAGTAATAATTACTTTGATCTCCATTGACCTGGCTCCTGCATCTAACTCTCAGTTCCAAACTTAGATGGGGAGGATGATATTTATTGGGCCTCTTGAATCCTATCATGGAATCTATTTAACCAGAATGACTACTTCTGACCAACTTCACTGCTACACTACCAGCTTTTTCACCTAAATTTTATTGCAATTTCAGTACCCTCCTAATTGCTTTTCCTGTTTACATTCCTGTTCCCCAGAACCTGCTCCCCAATCTGTATTACAGACTAGATCACCAAGACTGATGCTTTAAGAATGTCAGTCAGATCTTAACATGTTTCTCTCCAAAACTGTCCAGTGACTCCTAATTTCAGAGTAAATGCTAGTCCTTCACATACGTGATCTAGCTCCTCATTACGTCTCATCACCTGCTCCCCCCTTGCTCACTCCACATACCCACTGACCTCCTTGCTACTCTTTGAACCTACCAGGCACATTCCCACCTCAGGGCCTTTGTACATGTTCTCTGCCATGAATGATCTTCCCCCAGATACCCAGTTTTTTCTGTTACCCTCTCTGAGGCCTTGAGTAACTACCCTACTTAAATTCATAATCCCCCCCAACTCTCATCTCTTGACACTCCTCATTCTACTTCCCTATTTTTTTTTTTCTCTGTAGCATTTATCACTATCTGACATACTATCTTTTACTTATTGTATCAGTAATGTGCCCGATGGAATATTAGTGCCTAGAACATTGCCCAACAAAGAGTTGATGGTATTTGATGAATGAATGAATGAGACATACGCATGTCCCAGGATCTCTCGTTAATTAGCCTCATAGCTTAAGGCATTTTTTTTTTCTTATTTACTATCAATAGGATTGTTCAGGCAACTAAGGTGTTTGATTCTGTTGAGAAAGGACTTCCATTTGACACTTGGCCTCCTTGTGTATGCATCCATGACAGCATTTCTGACCTTTTCCCAGTTTCATTTGTCTTTTGTGTTCCCAAGATCCTAAGAAGCCAGCCAGAGGGGCTCATCTTGTAGAGAAGCCATTCTACTTATCAAGAATATCCTTACATAGACTTAATGAGTACTATGGGAAGGGCCCTGAGAGAATACAAATAGAACTTGGATCCTGCCCATCAAATGCTCATAGGAGGGGTATAAAGTTTGCCTACTATCATGACTTGGTCTGGGCTGGAGGGATGCAGTGAAGTTACTTTTAACAATAAAACATTTATCATTAAAATAGCCATTCTCATATTTTCTTAATTTTTAGTTCATAAATGGTTGATTTCATTTCTCAAATGCTTATTCTACATCAGAAAACATCTGATTCTCTCATCAAAATCAAGGTATACACATGGAGTCTCTCTAAAGTGAATACCAGGTGTTGTGTATTAAAATTAGAAAAAATGTGAGACTTCCTGATCTAGGACTGCCAATTCAGTGCCCCTTATGCACTGTTTTGCTACAGAGAACACACACAAGACACCAAAATAGAGGATCATGATTAAGGATCATTTATTGGATGGGAAACGGTGACCAGTACTCTATCCCAGGGACTAGTCTAAATTAAAATGCAAGTGTGTATGATGAAATGTCCATGAGGCCTTTGAGAAGCAAAAGAAACATCAGGTTCCAAAAGCATACCATTGATGGAAATTAATGACCAAAGTAGAAAAGGTCTGAAAGTCTCTTGAGATGATTCTTCCAGGATGTCTCCCACCCTTAAAAGGCTGAAGCACTATGGAGCACTCCTATGGCACTTGCTGCATTCTTGGCCGTATCTATAATACTTGTACTTGTGCCCCCTCTGAAGGCACCTCTGTGCATCAGTGTCCATAAGTGTGGTTTTAGATGAGTAACCAAAGCAAAGGAGTCAAGGAGTCAAGGTTTTTGCCTTCATTTCATCCCTTTCTTGCTCTTGCACAAAATCTACGTGTTATATGTAGTCTGATCTCTGCATGTTAAGAATGGAACTAGAGAAAGCTCTGGTTAGAGCAAATGAAATATAAGAACAAACTTGTGAAATCAGGCTAAGTTCTTTAGCTTAAAAAGATGAAGGCTTAGGGAAGATATGACTAGAGTTTATAAAACAGTATTATAGGTAAGACTGAAACAAAACAAGAAACCCATGCCACTGAGTCCATTCTGACTCGTAGCAACCCTATAGGACAGAGTAGAATTGCCCTTAGGGTTTCCAAAACTGTAATTTATGAAAGCAGTCTGCCACACATCTTTTTCCGACAGAGCGGCTGGTGGGTTTGAACCATGGATCTTTTTTGGTCAGCAGCGACCTTTTTTGGTTAGCAGCCAAGCACTTAACCACTGTGCCACTAAAGCTCCTTTCAAGGAAGCCTAGTTCATCATAAAGATACTGTCAAAAAATTTTCCAATTTCAGATACCACAACTTCCTAAAAAAAATGGTTGCCTAGCACAGTGTTTGAAACAATACATAATCAGTGTTTCCTTAATGAAACTAAAAGGATAATCCTCATTTTGGGATGGTAAGAACCTTATTATAGATGGAAAACTATTACAGAGGATTTAAGAAAAACTTGTTTTATCTACTGGCTTTATTATCAAATATGTTACTATATCTAAACCCCATTTAATAGTGGTAAAGTACCCATTTGGGATAGTTCAAGATTTCGCTGAATTAAAAATCTGTTTGTGGCAAATACTCACACGAACCAAGAAAAAAAAAGATTTCCAGATTTTTATTTCTGGAACTGTACACCAGGTATTAAAGTACAACAAATACAAAATAATGCTCAAAAAAATCAGTGTTTTTATGTACAAATATTAAAATCAATGCAACAATAGCAACTTCCTCTTGAACATCTGATACTAAAACTTGTTCTGATTGTCACTAATTTATCTCATACTCACAGGGTACTTATTTCAAACTGGGACAATTAGAATCACTGGTCATCTAAAAAGAATATTAGTATCTACCATATTTAACAATAAAACTAATAGTTTCCTCCTTTTAGTGAAAAAATTAGGAACTTTTTAAAAAACATAGTAATGTCAATAGTTTTATAAATTATTTCAATTTCCATTTGTAGACAATGTGCTTTGAAACTCTGGGCAAACAATCTCCTTGGTGGTCAGGTTTATTTGTTAGTTTACATTCAAAGTTGAAATACTCTCTAGAGACTTTGGTTAAATTAAATAGTATCACTATGCTCTCTATTAGATCTGACGTTCTCAAATACTTATAACCCTCAATTTTAAAAATTAAAAGAAAGAATTGCACAATTCCTTTTAAAAATTAAAAAGGAAACAAATGACCTAATTGTACAGATTTTAGTATTTTTTAAGCAGTATTCTACATCGTTCAAGTAAATTCAGCAGTTGACCATGACAAGAGGAAAACTAAACATTTAAAAAGCTAGAATGAAAAAGATGAAGTACAACTAACAAAAGTAAAGTATTGCTATAATCACAGCACCAGTTACATTTCTAAATAAGTATAAGACCTCTTCAAATTCCCTGTACATAAAAGATACATCAGCCAACACTGCAATTGCTCACCATGGATTTTTGGTTTGTTCATACGAAAACAATGTGGCAAAGAATAAAAGAAACCCAAAAAGAATTCATCACAGTTTGTTATAAGAATTGTGCTTAACACTTGATAATAAAGGCATTATTGTTTCTTCATATGATTGCAAATTGGCTATTTTCATGCTCTCAAACGCAATTCTTTTAATAAACAGTAACAAATTCTGTTAAAATGCTTAAACTGAGAGGAAAAAACCCAGTAAATTCAGCTTTTAAAAGAAAATTCAATAAATAGCTATTTTACATGGATAAAGTTATAGTGGTACAATTATGAATGTCACATCAAGCATGCACAAAAATGGTATTATACATGGCAGAAGTAGTCAGAAAATATTGAATTAGATCTAAAAAGATATGAAGAATTTACACATATATACAAAAATCTTGCAAATTATTGCCTCATTTTAACAAGGAATTAAAAGTAAACGTTACCAGCTAGGTAGCACTCTCTAAGAGGCTAAATTCAGATTGGCATTTAAAAATCTATTAAACTAGCTGGAATTTATTTTTCTCTCATACCATTTTCTGGATTTTGGTCAAAAATCTTTATTAAATAACTAAAGTGTCCATTCAACTTGCTGATAATCCAAACTTTAGATAAGAAACACTGTTTCCATCTTATATCAAGATCCCAGCAATGCATAGATAAACTGAATATATTACTGCATCAGCTACTGAGAATGGGCATGTTCATTTAAGTGCAACTGGTATTAGCATTCAGTCATCTTTGTGTAAATTATTCTATACAAACCAGCCAC